ACACTTTAGGTATACAGTATGATGACATTCATCATTGGGAATTTGTACCTTTCCATGATGTATCTTGGTTCTTATTTTTCCCCATTCCCCTGCTCTCCCCTCCACTTCTCTACCCTTCTTTATTTACAAAGACTTTGTTTCCATTTTTTGCTTTTCTCATATTTATTCCTTTCCTTTCTTTTCTTTCCCCTACCGCTTCTAATTCCCCTTCCCCTTTGGACCTTTTCTATTTTACAATATTATTCTACATTTTGATCCTTAAAATAATTTAATATTTTGAGGGTCAGTTTTCCCTTAAAGTTTTGAACTAGAATCTCTAAGTTTCTATCATTATTTTTTTCCTTAGTTTAAAAATATATCAGATAATAACAGAAAGAATAAGAATAATTTTAAAAAATAAAACCCACTGTAAATCAATCCCTTCAAAATTAAATACAATTATTTTTGCTTTTAAAAGTAATTTAGAAGCATTCAGGCTGGGGACATAGCTCAGTGGTAGATGACTTGCCTTGCACACAGGGAGAGGTGATGTTTTGATTTCCAACTGATAAGGTGTTTCTGTTTCCAAACTGATCAATATAGAAATTTTAAAAACTGGTGACTTTATTATATAGGTAGTTTGTAAAGGAGAGAAGCCATCTACTATCATAAAGAGGTACTTCAGGTAAAATGCTAATGTCACTTTAATTATAATTCCTTTTGTGTAAATAAAAATTTTATAGATACCATATATATGTGTGAGTACGCGCAGGTTTATGCACATTTTTATAACTCTTTCAAAATAGAATACTATAAGGATTTTGTTCATTTGTTTGTTTCATTTTGCTGAAATGTGTAGAATTTTTAAGGTTTATGTTAATTTATGGAATGATTTCCAGATGGAAACAAAGATTACCCTTTGAATTATCTACTTTTATTAGGTTAACTAAAACAAAACTCTATAGAGTATCTAAGTAATTCTCAAGCTACATAAGAAACACCCAGTTGATGCACGAGAATTATAAAGATAATTTACACAGTTCAGTGAAGAAAGCAATCTATACTGAAAAGTAACTAAAAGTTATATCACTATATATTTTAAATAGAAAATAAATGTGCAGAAAACTGAGTAATCATCATTACTCTTATACCTGACCTCTGGAATAGAATTATATCATCTCCCTTTCTTTCTACCTTATATACTGCTTTTCACACTTTAATATGCACAATCGCCTGAGAATCTTGTTTAAAATTCAGATTCTAAGAGGCCTGTGAGGTTCTAGCTTCTGTTTCTTATATTACTAGTCTTGGGATCAGATTTTGAGTAGTAAGGCTTTAAACTATGAAGACAAGAGTTGAAAATGACAAAAGAAAAGACATGTCTGCACTTTCCTTTTTTTGTTTTGTTCTAGCCAAAACACATACTGAAATTCTGACATTATTACTTAGGGTGAGTCTAAGCTTAGTTACTCTACTTTGTCTTCCTCAGTGGCTCCATCTATACTCCCACAAAAGGGAAAGATCTTACAGACACCTGTCAGGTAGTATGCCATAGGTAACTATTACCTGTGACTCCCAGGCTAGAGGTCTCTGAAAGTGGGGCCCTATTGTGCCTTATCATGGTGCTTTCTAGGAAGAGTCATGATAGAAAGACTGCACGATTCTACTAAAAGGGTAAATTATGCCAAAATTTAGAATAGTGACTATTTATGTCTGGTGTTAGAATGTATTATTATAATAGAATTTTCAGGAAATGTATTTTCTAATTACATTTTATTTAAGGTAATAAATGAGGATCACATACTGTTATCATACACCAACTAATACTGTAGCACTGGTGAGGAACAGATAGGGATGTGGATCTGCCTAAAGCATAAAAAAGCACTGTAGGAGGGAGGTCTCTGATGAAATTTTTTTTCTATGATGATGAAAGTCAACTACCAAGTTCTTATGCCACTCAGTGTAACTCAGATGAAATGGGCTTCTCATAGGCCAAGTATTTTTAAAAAATCCTTTTTTGGTACAAACACATACTATGTATCCATCCTTACACTAAGAGCTTTCAATGAAGTGGCTTTTTTGTGAAAAGCTCCATTATTTGGTTCATTCTATATGAATAAATTAATATATATGTATCTTAAAAATAGAAAAGTGTAGATTATTCACTTCATTAAAAGAACAGCCAGAAATGACTCTTTTAAGGGGTTAGTATATATATATAAAATCAGTGGTTCTTTTGGAGTTATGTATAATTAGCATATATATATATATTTTTTCCAGGTTAAATACATAAACTGGGGCGTATCTATAACACTTTTATGATAATACAAATTTTAGAAATGCCAGTCTACTGAATAATGCTTGGGTTTCATTAAAGCCTCCTATTGTTTCACCTTAGAGAACACTTCAAGCATCTATAACATTGTTTAGATCTAAAGTGTCCCCGAAAGTCTCATGTGCATATATTTTTAATGTGTTACTTTATTGATCTCAAAAATAATACCTGGACAGTAGGTCTCATTGGTAGTTTCATTTTGCAGATGGAATAACTGAGCCTTGGCAAAGTTGGGGGAGAGAAATGGCACCCGCAGTGGCAGGGCCATTTGCATCTCCTGGAGCAACAACTCTGTGGCCGATGTGCATCTTTCTCTGAGAACTGTCTCTGATGGCTGAGCTTGCCCCAGAACCCCGGTTATCCTAAACTAGATGAGTTTTCTCTCCTTCAGCTTGGAAGGGATGGTCTTGTAGGATGTAGTAATCTAGGTTGTAGGGGTTGAAAATTTTGTTGCAAGCTCTCCTGGCCTTTAATGTTTCTGTTGAGAAGTTGGTTAATTCTTCTTATGGGTTTGCTCCTGTAAGTTATTTGGTGTGTCTTCCAACAGCTTTTAATAGTTTCTTTGCTCTGGATTTCTGAATTTCAACTGTGATGTGTTATAGAATGATCCACTCTGGTCGTGTGGCTCCCTGACCAGACAGGGTCAGAGCTGGAAAAAAGAACGGGAGAGTGCTCCCAACTGTGGATCTCACAGGAGCCACAATCCAGAGGCTTCCAAAAATACATAAGCTTCCCAAAAACTGAGCCCACATATATTGAAGTGGATGAAACTCCAGACAAAAATTTTAAAGCCAATAGTGAAAATGATTAATAACATCAAAGGAGAGCCATACAAGCAGCTGACCTTCTCAACTGCTAGGATCAAATAATAATCAAAGAACAGACAAACATGCAGTTGAATGAATTAGGGAAGACAATGTAAACTGTGAAAGACAACTTCAGCAAAGACACAGAGATTCTGGAAAAGAACAAAGCAGAAATCAAATAAAAACTGAAGTGAAAGTGTAGGCATAGAAAAGATCTGTCAGAAGAAAGACGAGCGCTGCTGGAACTTTCAGATAGAATCAAAGAAAAAATGAAAGAAAGAAAGAAAAAAGAGCAAGCAGCACTGAATGGATGGTACAAAAGTTCTTGGATAAACCCAAAAGAAATAACTTAAGGTTCATTCGCCAAAATAAGGCAATGAATTACATACAAGCTAATGGCTTTAAAAATACATTCACTGAAATTATTGCAGGAAATTTCACAAAGCTGAAGGATGAGGCGGATACTCAGATAAAGGAGGCATTTTGGAACCTCATGTGCATTTTGGAAGGTGCTTGGATCATGGGGATGCTGCATTCATCAGTGGATTAATCCACTCACACAGCTGAAACACTGTTAGGAAATGGGGCTTGGTTGGAGGTGGGAACTGCGTACGAGACTGAATGGGTATATTCTTGGCCCCCAATCCTCCTTCTCTCTCTGCTTTCTGGTTGCTGTGCGGCAAGCAGCTTTCCTCTGCCATGATTTCACAGTGCCACTTCTGCCTTGGATCCAGCCAATTATGGAATGAACCCACTGGATCTGTGAGACAAGTAAATCTCTGCTTTTTTTTTTTTTTTTTTTTTTTTTTTGAGACAGGGTCTCACTCTGTAGTTGAGACTGACCTGGAACTCACTATGTAGCCCAGGCTGGTCTCGAACTCACAGCGATCCTCCTGCCTCAGCCTCCCAAGTGCTGGGATTACAGGCATGCGTCACAACCCCAGCTATCTCTGCTCCTTTAAATTAGAGGCATTGAATATTTTGGCATAGCATTGGGAAAATGATTAATATAAACACAAACCTATTATTATGGTTTAGATCTACAATTTCCTTAAAAGGTTCAGAGATGGGTTTTAAAGGTGATTGGATAATGGGGTGCTATACTCATCAATGGATTGAAAAGTTCAGAGCTGAATGTGCTGTTAGGAGACAGGGTCTGGTTGGAGGAGGTGGGTCATAGGGGGCACAGCTCAAACACTTCCCCCTCCCAGCTCCTCCCTTCACTCTCTGCTTCCTGGCCCCTTGGAATGAGCAGCTGTCCCTTGTCCTTCCATGGTACCATTTCTGTCTTGGAGCTAGCTGTGTACTAAAACTTCTAGAAATCATTAAGCCAAAACAACCCTAACCTTGTTAAAGTTGTGTGTTTTGGGTATTTTGTCCCAGTGACAGTAAAGTAACAAAAACACTTGTATTTAAAATTATCTATTCATGATTTCCCAAATAGATACTTTCCTCCTTACACCTTTGCTCAAACTGTTCCTTCTGCCTAGAATGTCCTTTGTCCCTGTCTTTTTCTATAATATTTTATTTATCTTTCAAGGCTCAGCTCAAATTTTAACTTCTCTACAAAGACTTCCCAGGGCTCCATGGCCAGGATTATATCTTCTCTTTTGTGCATTCCCATAACTCTTTAAATTTCTATCGCAGTGTTTCTCAAAGTGGGTCCTTTTATCCATAGCATTAACATCATTTGGGGATGTGAGAAATGCAAATTTTGGGGGAATATGTCACATCTACTGAGTCAGAAACACTGTCTACAGTTGGAACAGTGCCCTAAGGCATTCCAGTTTACTGTGAATTGAGAACCATTGCTTCAGTATATTCTCTATTTTATTATCACAGGCATACTCTACTGTGCTTCACTTTATTGTACCTTACAGATAATTGCATTACTTATACATTGAAGCAACCCACATGGACCAAGTCTGTTGGTGCTATTTTTCCAATAGCTCAGATTGCCAGCATTTCTTAGCATTTTAAATATTAAGGTATGTACATTTTAAAAAGATATAATGCTATTATCTACATAATGTTCTACAATATAGTACAAATGTAACTTTTATATTCACTGGGGAACCAAAACTTCATATGACTCATTTTATTGCAACATTAGCTTTATTATAGTGCTCCAGAACCAAACCTGCAATATGTTGGAGGTACACCTGTACCATATTACATATCGTAACCTCTTCACAAGAAGGTAAAGCAAGTTCCATGAGAGCAGAAATACTGTCTTTATGCTTTGCGGTACTAAGTACAATGTTTTTCACTTAGCAGATAACAATAAGTCATGTTGAATTAAATTGCTATTTTTTTGTCAAGGTCAAGGTATGCAAGATAAATAGTCATTAGTGGATCAATTTTTCATTTTAATCATGTTTAAGAAACTTTAAAGGTTGTAACATAATATAAGATAAATAGTCATTAGTGGATCAATTTTTCATTTTAATCATGTTTAAGAAACTTTAAAGGTTGTAACATAATTGATTCAGATGAAGAAACACACCAGTTGTAGAGGACTAAAATAAAGGAATTGGTTGTTCTTATTTTTCAACATGAGAAATACCTCTTAGTTTTGCTCTAAACTTTTTATCTAATGCATATGATGCTTCACAAGTGTTTACTAACAATAACAATCTCATTTGGAAGTTTCTATTCTTCACTTACCTCTAAGGTTTTTAAGGCTTGAAGAAATATATGCTTTTTAAAATGTCTTAATTGGGCTTCAAATTCACATGGTGTCTATATAGTAAATATATTAGAAACAAGCATTGCATAATGTGCCTATATGCTACTTATCAATCAATAAATTTGAGATATAACTTATTGGAAAATAATATAAAGTATCATTTTGCTATAGTAAAAGTTGATATAATGTTTAGAACTTACAACATTGAAAAACAAGCTAAACAAAAACAACTGTTTGTACTGATTGATAATGTTTACTTTATTAGTGCTCAAAATTAGATAACAGGTTCAAACAGCCACAGGATTTATAAAATCCAAAACAGCAAAGAGTAAAACAAAATACATGAGAACCACAGTAATAAGAATCTATACAGCAAATAGGTTACTTCCTGTCAAAATCCAATTAATAACTAAACACTTACTTCTAAGTGTAACTTAGTTGAAACAAATTAGAATATAATTGGAAAATAAAATAGTCCATATATTTTGTTGTAAAAAAATCAACAAATATGATCAAATTCAAGGGGAAAAGGTCTTCTCAAGTATGAATTACTTTTTAAAAGCAAAAAGCATGCTTTGTGATTAGGTGTCTTCATATTTCATCTTATTATCAGAAAAAATATTTGGTTTGTTTTAGAAAATACCATCAAATATTCCCAGAAAAGACTTTATTTCATTAGCTTCATCATCAGGATGATACCTAATTGGGGTGTGGGGAGAGCAAATAAGAAATAACTACTTTTGTTACAGAATTTGTTTTAAGATACAGAATAAATAATGTAATAATATTAAAAGAACACAGATAAACTTAAAAATTGCTGTGAGGTTAATATATCAAATCAATTTCATTGTGTATAACCTTGAATGAAGAGTGTGGGTTAAAAAAAAAGACTTCATAAACTATAAAAAGTTAGGACCAAGACTGTTAGATATTTCTTTAAATACACTGGAAAACACTGCCATTTAATAAAACATGAAGAGATCTCTGATCTTTTGAGTTTTCAAGGACAGAGAAACTGCTACAATGTCTCTTTTAAAAATGGTCCATAATGAGGGCACTGATTAGGTATCGTTTGACTTTTTCAGTGAACCCGTTGAGTTGTGAAATAATTGGTTGGCTAAAATGTGATTTGAATTTTTGAATAATTAGCTGCTTTCATCTGTATTTCTCAAATGACATTATACTTTCTACAATAAATAAATATACTATGTTCAAAACAGTAAACTATGTATCAACTCAACATAATGATTTATAGTTAACAGCATCAAAGTTTTTTAAAAATTAAGGTATTTGATATTGTGAAACATCTTAAGGAGTTTAGCTTATTAGGGGTCTATAATTGCAATGCTTTTACTAAAGTGTTCATGTTCTGATCTTTACAATCAACCAAGGGATTTCTTTAACTGAAATACCAAATAGTTTCTCTGGTGTGAAAAACTATAATAGTACACAGGATCCTAATGAGATAATTAATAATGTGAAATAGGAAGAAAAGGGCTTAAGGTGTAGGGAAAGTGGGAAGGGTGGGGTAAAGGTAATAAGGGAGAGGAAAAAAATATGAGAAACTGAAAAAATGGAAATAAAGTGTTTGTAAATGGGGAGGGGAGAAGGGGGTGAAGGGAGGGCAGGGACAAGGGGAAAAAATGAGAATCAAGACCTATTATGTAAAGGTACAGGATCCCAATGATGAATGTAACTGTACTGTATACCTAGATTGTACCAATAAACTCAATAAAAAAAATCAACCAAGGGAAAAGGAATGCTGAATTTCTTTAAAAAGTTTTCACTGGTATACTATTGCAATGCATCTGAAGCATTCTTACCTAAAATCAGTTTCCTTTTTAGTGTCACTGTTTCTAGTAAAAAAATCCACTTCCATAAAATTTGAAGATTTTTGCTTTTTTTTGGAGTGATTGAAGTATAACCTCTCAATTACTGGTGACATATTTTGTTGTTTTCTTTCTTGTAAATGGACCTATATTTTGATTTAAAAAGTAGCAATCATTGAAAGTTTAAGTACTCAGGAAAAATGTAAAAGAAAAAGAAGTGCTTGTGCTTACAATATTTGCACTTTCAGCTTCTTCAGGTAATTGTGTCAGGGAGGATGCACCGAACTTGTCCATAGCAGAATTTGATAAATAAGTATCCAGCTTTTCATGTGATGAGACAAAACTAAAAATTTAAATTTAAATTTAAAAATACTGCAAACAAAAATTATTATAATTTACATTAACAGTGATTCTGTGGAGAATATGATTAAAGTTCTACACATCTGGCACAAAAATGATGCTTTGTTACTTATACTTATGGATAATTTCATATATTTCCTTTATTTAGACCAAACTACAATGATCCAAATTATATACTCATCTTAAGGACTATAGAAATAATTGTTCAGCATTTATTTCAGTATCAAGTGCTATGCATAACCCAGAAGTCTATAAATCTTTTCTTAATTCTACTTATTTTTCTAAATTCCACTTTCAATCTCCTTTCCTTATTCTGCTCTTACTATAAATAGACAACTTTAGTTATCTTCTTACATATAACTGTATATGAGAATTACTTACAAACTTCCATATTAAATTCATTAAAGCACATTTATTATTCACTACCATATGCTATGTATTATTTTAGGTGCTGGACATAAAATGACAAAAAAAAAAACACCCAACTCTAGGGAGTTGCTAATAGAGGAACAGACAACGAATAAAAGTAAATATATACATAATTGCAGATTCTGAACTTATATGAAGGAAATGAATTGAGTAATATAGGAAATAACAGTGAGGGGTTATAAACTAACTTTAAAAAGATGACCATCCATGCATTTCTGAAGGGGTAACAATTTAAGATGACACTTAAAGGCTAAAATAGCCATATAAGAACCAATGAGTAGTGAGTGCAGGCAAAGGAGAGTTACATAACAATGGAACTGTTCTTTTAATTTTTGAATTAATAAATATTATATAAACATGACAAGGAACTAAATAATTTTAAAAGAATATCAAAAAAAAAAAACAAGTCTTTCTTACATTCCAGCTCATTTGACCCTGCAGGCTGTACCTGGAACAAATTCTAATATCAATTTCTGAGAGGGTTTTGGATAGGATCTATTATTAAACCTATTTATCGTCTGTTGGTCACTTCTAAACTTCCAAAATTATTTGTAGTTTTTGGTGTGTTTTTTTTTTTTTTTTTTTTTTTTTTGTACTGGGGATTGAACTCAGGTCCTGTACTTGAGAGGCAGGCAGCAGAACCACTGAGCTAAATCCCCAGCCCTGTTTGTAGTTTTAAAAGATGTAGCACACAAAACCGTTCTTGTGCTTTGTTATCTTCCGACTTGTAATTTATATAATTTTTGCTTCTCTACACCCACAGCTTTGTTCTACTTGTTGCTAAAATGTTTATATATATGACTCAAAAGTTAGAACCAATGAATGGAAGAGATAAAAGGACAAATTTTAGGACAATAGTTTAAAACCAATTGAGAGTCAAACATGGATCTCGTCCCAGAGACCATGACTCAGTAGGACTGCGTGGGCCCAGGAATGTGCATTTTTAATATGTAACCCTTAGGTGGTTTTGTTGCAGGTGGTTTGACAATAGCACTTTGAGAAAACTCTAAGATTAAGAGGGTTCAGGTAGGTAACATTTTAATAGCTTCTATGATATCTAATAACTTTATTCCTATGTCCAGTTATGTGTTAAGAGGATATAAATTTGTAAGAATTACAAACTAAAGTTCCAAAACTTGCCTGTTTGACATTTCTCTTTGGAATTTGCTCTTTGACTTTTGGAGGGGTGACTGACTTCCGGTGGTACTTGAACTCAAAGTGTTTCCAAATCCTATACAAAGAGATAACATTTTGAAATAAAATGTTATGAAAAAGCTAAATGAGGCTTTTCACACATTCTACAAGGATCTTTCCAACAGATACAATCTGGTTAAGAAAGTGTAAATAAGAACCAAAAGGTATAATAGATAATGTAAAATAGGAAGAAAAGGTGCAAAGGGGAAGGAGAACTAGAAGGGGTTGGGGAAAGGAAAGATGGGAATGGAATTAACATGAGAAAATGAAAAAATGGAAACAAAGTCTTTGCAGATAGGGAGGGTGGAGGGGTAGAAGGGAGGGCAGGGGAATGCGGAAAAAATAAGAACCAAGATGGACTATGTAAAGGTGCAAATTTCCAATGATGAATGCCATTACATTGTATACCTTA